ATTAATCTATGATTAATGGGAACCTATATTTATAGCAGCACAGTTTATAATAGCTAAAACTTGGAAACAGCCCATTTGCCCATCAGTTGGAAACTGGATAAAGAAGATGTGGTTTTTCTATAAAATGGAATAGTACTCAGCCATAAAGAATGAGAAATTAGATTCATTTGTAGGAAAATGGATGCATATTGAGGATATGCTCCTAAGTGAAATAAGTCACATGTGTAAATACCAAATAGTTTCTGTAGTGTGAAAAACTATAATAGTACATAAGATCTTAACAATATATTTGACAGTGTGAAATAAGAAGAAAGGGGCTAAAGGTGTAGGGAAAGTGGGAAGGGTAGGGGAAAGGTAATAAGGGAAAAGAAAAAAAATGAGAAAATGAAAAACTGAAAATGAAGTGTTTGTAAATGGGGAGGGGAGGAGGGGTGAAGGGAGGGCAGGGGTATGGGGAGGGGAGGAGGGGGTGAAGGGAGGGCAGGGGTATGGGGAAAAAATGCGAACCAAGGCCTGTCATGTAAAGGTACAAGATCCCAATGATGAATGTAACTGTACTGTATACCTAAAATGTACCAATAAACTCAATGAGGAAAAAATTAAGATTAATGGGAACTACTAAAAAATCACAAGATAGCAGAAATGGCATTTAAAAAACTGTTCACTGAAATAACAGCAGAAAACTTTCAAAATGATTTGTAAGAATTTAGCATACAGATAAGTGAGGGAAATAAAACTGCAAATACCCCTGATCAGACACCTCATAGTCAAATCCTAGAAGTCCAACACAAGAACAGAACCTTAAAAGTGATTGGAGAAGAGTACAAATCACTTATAAAGTAAAATCCATTAGAATTATAGCAGACTTCTCAATATAAACCTTGTAGACCAGGAAAGCTTGGCATGATGTGTCTCAAGCTCTAAAGGAAAACAATTTCCAACCCAACCTGATAGATCCTGCAAAACAATTTTTCAAAACTGAAGAAATAAGACACTTTCATGATAAAGAACACCTAAAATAAAAATCATGAACACCAAACCAGTGCTCCAAAAATTCTCAGGGATACCCTAAAAAGAGACAGTGAAACTACTTATGGCAAAAGGTCTAATAGAGTGAATATACCATGGTGAGCAACCCGTAAAAAAATGAATAGACACCTCGCAGAAGAAATACAAATAGCCACATGAAGAAATGCTCAACATGAGAAATGCAAAGTCAAACAGTATGGAATTCCATTTTACCTCAAAACGAATGTCCATCCTCAAGAAATCAAAATTAGCTCATTCTGGAGAGGCTGCAGTGAAAAAGGAATTCTTTTACATTGTTGGTGGAAATGTAAACTAATACAACAACCATGGGAATCAGTATAGAGATTCCTCAAAAAAATGAAATGACAAATTCCATTTGATCCAGGTATTCCCCTTCTACATATCTTCCCCAAAGAGTTTAAAGCATCGTATTATACATGAATACCTATATTTATAGCAGCATTATTCATAATAGCTGAATCTTGGAAGACGCCAATCTGTTCAACAGATGAATGGATTAAAAAAATATGGTATTTATACACAATGGAATACTATCCTGTCTTAAATAATGATAAACTTGAGTCATTTGTAGGAAATTGGATGTACCTTGAGACTAATGTTAAGTGCAATAAATAATACAATAATAATAAGACAAGTAAATAAATAAGTAAGCTTAAATGTTACATGATTTCTCTTGCATGAGAAACTGAAAGTGTAGAATAAAGAGCAAAATAAAAGACAGATATGAGGAAGCAGGGAGATAGATCTTTCTCAAAGCGGAAGGGGATCAAGAGAGGAGGAAGGCGAAAGATTTATGCGATCTGAAGAGAAACCAGAGTATTTTTGGATTTTAATTTAGTGCATGGGTAGGAAGAATCAACATAGTGAAAATGGCCATACTACCGAAACTGCTATATACATTCAATGCAATGCCAATTGAAATCCCAACACTATATTTCACAGAACTAGAAAAAAGAATCCAAAAATTCATTTGGAACCACAAGAGACCTAGAATAGCAAAAGCCATTATAGGCAACAGTCACATGGCACCAGGTGTAACAATTCCCAATTTGAAACTATACTACAAAGCCACTGTGATAAAATCAGCATGGTACTGGCAAAGAAATAGGCCTGAGGATCAATGGAACAGACTGGAAGACACAAAAACAAATGCAGATGTACTCAGCTACCTCATCTTCGACAAAGGAGCTCACCATCCTCAGTGGAGGAAAGATAGCCTCTTTAATAAATGGTGTTGGAAAAACTGGATATCAACCTGTCACAGATTAAAATTAGACCCTTATCTTTCGCCATGCACTAAATTAAAATCCAAATGGATTAAAGATCTAAATATTAAAACAGAAACATTAAACTTGCTGGAAAGTAAGTTAGGCAGAACTCTGGAAGACATTGGTATAGGAAAAGACTTTATGAACAAATCCTCAGTAGCACGGGAACTAGCAGAAAGAATCAACAACTGGGATCTCATCTTACTAAAAAGCTTCTGTACTTCAAAAGAAACCATTAGCAGAACTAAGAGACAATCTACAATGTGGGAAAAAATTTTTACCAGCTGTACCTCAGACAAAGGACTATTATCAAGGATATATAAAGAACTCAAAACAATCAGTCCCCCCAAATATAAAGACCCGATCCAAAAATGGGCATCCGAAATGAACAGACATTTCTCATACAAAGAAGTGAAAGCAGCAAGAAAATATATGAAAAAATGTTCCACATCACTGGTCATTCGAGAGATGCAGATGAAAACAACACTGAGATTCCACCTCACCCCACAAAGAATGGCTGCTATCAAGAAATCACACAATAACAAATGTTGGCGGGGTTGTGGGGAGAAAGGAACCCTCCTCCATTGTTGGTGGGAGTGCAGACTAGTGCAACCACTATGGAAATCAATATGGAGATACCTCAAAGAGCTTGGACTGGAGGTTCCATTTGACCCAGCCATCCCTCTGTTGGGTATCTTTCCAAGAGAACTAAAAGAATCATATCACAGAGAAGTATGTGCACCCATGTTTATAGCGGCACAGTTTGTAATAGCTAAATCTTGGAAACAACCTATTTGCCCATCCGTTGGAAACTGGATAAAGAAGTTGTGGTTTTTCTATAAAATGGAATATTACTCAGCCATAAAGAGCGAGAGAATAGATTCATTCATAGGAAAATGGATACATATTGAAGATATACTCCTAAGTGAAATAAATAAGTCCCACATGTGTAAATACCAAATAGTTTCCCTGGTGTGAATATTCTGCAACAATGCATAAGATTCTAATAAGATTACTGACATTTAGAAATGGGAGGAAAGGAGCTAAAGGTGTAGGGAAGGTGTGATACGTAGGGGAAGAACAAAAAGGGAAAAGAAAAAAATGTGAGAGAATGAAAAGATGAAAATAAAGTGTTTGTAGATGGGGAGGGGAGGAGGGGGTGAAGGGAGGGCAGAGGTAAGGGGAAAAAATGAGAATCAAGACTTGCCATGTAAAGGTACATGATCCCAACAATGAATGTAACTGTACTGTATCCCTAAATGTACCAATAAACATCAAGAGGGTTCTGCCTGAAAAGATGAAGACAATGAAAACATGGTTTATGTCTTTAACGTTGAAGATTATACACTAATAATAGTATGTTCACTGAATTCCGGAATTAGGAGTGAAGTGGCGGGAGGTAACAAACTAAGAAGCACTGTTTTACATGATTTATAAACACTGAAGTCATTACCCCATAGTAGATATTAAGATATTACACAACACAAATGCAACATTAATATCAAATAAAAAGGACAATGTGATAAGTAGCAAACAAACAGAAATTAAGGTAGGGATAGAAGGCTTTTGTAAGATTAGACACTTGCATGGCGTTTTAGTTATTCTCCCATTGCTCAGACAAAATACTCAACACCCACAAGTTAAGGGAAGAAAAGTTTATTTTAACTCACAGTTTGTAGAGATTTTCAGTCCAGAGTCAGCCCTAAGGCAGGGCAGCATGGCAGAGGGACATAGAGAAGAGAAACAGTCCATACCGTCCGTACCAGGGTAGTCAGGAGGCAGGAAGCCCAGCAGCAAGCCTCCCCTTCCCTCTTATTCCATTCAGGCCACAAGCTTCTTGGTTAGTGTCACTCACAGTAACCAAGGTTGTTCACTCACACTAACCAGGCTGGCCTCTCCCATTATCCACATCCAGAACTATGCTAACCTAATCAGAGGACTAATTTAGTTATCATACATCCTTAATCCATATTACTCACACACCACAGATTCAGCTATCTTGTAAATTTCCTACCTATGAGTGCATGAAGCTTTGGGGGGACATCTAGCTACAAACCATAACAAATGAGTTACAGATTAAATATTATCCATTACAGAAGAAACCTGGAATGCTTAAAGTATCACACTCTTATTTAATTTAGAATTACTTTTACTGTAAAATACAGAAAAGGACCAGGTAGCACCATGATATGCAAATGTTTTTCTGTTTGCCTTTCTGGCTTTGGAATTGAAAACTGTAGGCTCCTGCCTGAGAAAGCTCCATCTCCCTGCCCCTTTACTAATAGTTCCCAGTGATAATATTTGGACAATGATATTTTGGATTCTCATACTGGTAACAATCTTAAGGATTAGAAATCTTCCATCCTACAATTAAACAGAAGCCATAAACTAGCATGAAAGTAAAGTCATAGGGGGAAAAAAATCTTAAAATTTTAAGATTCCCCAACTGGTTACTGTAGATTTGAAAAACTTTGATTCATTTGTTCATATGGTATTCTCCATTACCATTTGCCATTTAGTCAGTGAAAAAGGCAGCACTCGCTTCACTGTCAATCCAGGGCAAGTATTTCTATAATGATCATGCAGGACTCTTGGTAAGAAATTTGGCCTGTGTGTATGTCATAGTCACTCAGAATACCTGAACTGAGCTCTCTCTCTGACACTCTATCTCTGTATTCTCAGGACTACTGGCTCTCGCTACTTTACAAGCGTTTGATTGGCCCCAAAGTCTTGGCAGTGTATGTGGCTGGGCTACAGAGGAAGCCACGGCCAGGCCGAGTGATCCGGGACAAACTAAGGATTTATGCTCACTGCACAAACCACCACAAGTAAGTCCTCATAGAAATGGAACAGAAAGGTCATCCTGATGGGTTTCAGCCCCTCTGAAAATTCTATGCTGTTTGGAACCTCTTCAAGAATCATCTGTGTTCGGTGATATTAATTAAGAACTGCCTCTGGGATCACCATTATTTTGCAGGTTTCAAATGATTCTGCTAAGGAGATGTTTTGTTGCAGCTTTACTCCCCTTTTCATACTTACAGGCTCTATTTGTAAAAAAAAAAAAAAAAATCATAAAATGCATGCTATTTGTTCATCTAACAAATTTTTATTGGGTATTTTCTCTATACCAGTTGATATAATGCCCATGAAGTTTTTTGTGTGCCTAAGCCTACACCAAGGCAAAAGACCATGTCTTGTCCTATGATCCACCTACAGAGTTTAAGGAAAAGGTCTTCATTTATAAAAATGCATGCTGAGAGCTACAGTACAAGGAACCTAGCCCTAGACCAGTGTGTCTCAAACTGGGTACCCCAGAACTAAAAGAGTGTCTAAGGGTAGTCAGGCCAGCTTTAGAACCATTTAAATATATATACACGTGTGTGTGTGTGTGTATATATTCTCAGCTATTTTAGGTGTAAGAAGCTAAATCAAATGTATGCTTCCTTTTAGCGGGTGGGAGATAGGTAGTGAGGAGGAAGATCCCCAGGGTATAACATTCCATTGTTCCATTATGGTTATGTGCAGTTATATCCTTCTCTTCTTGATCTGAACACTAGTTGTTATTAGAGTCATCTTTGAAACAAACAGGAAAGTTAGTTATAAGTAAATAAACAGATAAAAAGTTTTAAAACATGAAGACCATAAGGGAAACTTTTTTAATTGGTCTTAAAGCAAAACCCATCTGGTCTAATATGTCTTTCTGACATCATTTCCTGTTTGAGGAGAGTAGGGTGCCCTAGAAAAAACATCTCTTTCTCTTACTGCAGAGAAAACCTGGGGGCAGGATTGCCAGGGATTGCCCTTCTATGCCTGGGCCTGTGAAGACTATCAAGGTCTGATCAAGGGGAGGGGAAGCACAAAGAGATGTGTGGTCAGATTACACCAGATGCTTCTGCTCAGTCCTTGATGAGACAGGAGCCAAGCCAGCTAATTCCTCATGATAAGCTTTTTCAAAGAATAACTCTGAGCAGAGGGGGCCCAACGGCCAGTTATCTTGCCTGTAGATACAAGTGCCTATTGTAGGTGAGGGGAGGCTGGTTTGGGCAGGGGCCAGAGGCTTTCAACATCCCTTTTGCTCAGCAGGAAGCTCAATCCCATACCTGACAGAGTGACTGCTTTGTGGCCTTGGCCTGGAGTTATCTGATAATCACACAAGGCAACATTGTATTCCTTGTCTCTGCCTAGCCCTAAGGTAACTACCCATAAGGTAGACCCTCAGCTTTGAGAGAGAAAAATTGCTCTTGGCACCTTCTACTCCTGTTGGAAAATACACCAGTCTTGGCCTTTATCCTGCTGGTTTAGGGACCCAAGGAGAAGTGTCTGGTGCCATATGGCAGGATTTGTGTGTCTTCCTTACATATTCTTATTCTGATGTTCAGCCAAGTGTTCTTTGACATTCTCATGGGAAGTTGTCACTAATATTCTGAGTATACCATGAACTCAAGCCCAGCATTCATTATATTCTTAGTGTCTAATATTGTAACTAGCTTGAAGAAGGTCTCATAAAAATGTTTGATAGATGAATAAATGGATGAATGCAGAAACGGGGCATCAATACATTACTGCTGATTTATACTTTTGCTCTTCTCCCCTGTGATATCACCGAGAGGAGGTGGTGTGGTAGAGTGGTTAGTTACATCATTCATACCATGAGTCCCCAACAAATTAGTAAAATCACCTGGATTTGGAACTTCTCTAGAAATGAGATGCCACCAGACTCTTTTTGGTACAATCTCTTCTTTTCCCCATTAAAAAGAAAGGAGAAAAGACTTTCATAATCCGTGTCACACATGACCTATAAAGATAAAAATTGAGGCAAAGGTCTTAGACCCATAAAACATACCTACAATGGATACAATGATCCAGCTAAGGTTGCAGATCTCCTCCACGTATCAGGTGTCAGGTGCCTAAATAGGTAGGCACAAGAATAAAAGTGTGTCTGCCTTTCTCTCTGGAAAGCCAAGTGCCTTATCTGTGCTCCCACATCCTGTACAATAGTCTTAAGAAAAGACCACTGATTTATTCAGTTCGTTTGTGGCCAAAGAGGCTAAAGTCATAGAACTGACCAAGAGTGGGCAGGTTGGCTTCATGCTAATCAACCTTGATCAGTGCTCTGGAAATAAATGTCCTGGGTCAAAATAGGTATTGGATAAGAAAAGATCAACTTACGAATAGAACAATGCAAAGGAAGTGTCTCTTAAAAGAACAACTGCACTCCAACGTGTATTAAAGATTTGCTATGTAACAAGGATCTTGCCAGACATTTGCATTTGTATTATCTTCCTAAATTCTAAAGGTTCTACCCTTAAAGTCATTTGACTCAACATCCTATTGCACACACGACTCCCCTTTCCATCTTCCTGACAATTATACAGCACCTACTCAGAGACTTTACTGCCTCTCCTTGAAGCCTCTTGCACCATGGGTCCTTTCTGACCTAGTGGAGCCTTGTCTCTTATAGTTGATTTAGAAGACAAAGTAAGGTGCTCATATCAACACCAGCAGGTGCTTTTCTGCGTTCTACTCTACAGAAAATTAAGACACTAAACTTAATTAGTAGTTCTCACCCCAGATCTTGTTCAGAGAACAATTAAGTTTTGACAGGGAAACCTTTTTTATAAGCCATTCTACTGGGACAATGCACATTTCTGGGGTGGAGCTGAGGTCCTTAGCCAAGTTCAGAACCAATTGGAACCTGATGGATGTTGAAGCAAAATTGAATCTTTTGGGGTTCAATTTAGTTTACTATTGGCAAAGCACAACTTCCTGTTTTTCAGAAGAAGTTTTTTAAAAGGCTCATAAAAAAAGGTTCCTGAGGCTTCTTGGACATCAAATGACTCTTACAAAAAAATATTTTGATGAGTTAAGTGTAAATGAATCAGAAACATGTGGATTAAATTTCCCTTAAAATACACAGGGGCTTTGAAATTAAGGGGAAAAATGTTTGGCAAAACATTGCCTGACTTTTACCGAACCCAAAACCTTTGCATTAGATTTGGATATAATGCACCAACCCAGTATTCAAGCACATTGACTTTCACTGGGAATGACCATGGACTGCAAAGCATCATCCTCCTTTCTTTTCCCAGACCCCCAGCTTCACTGGAGGTGTTTCTACAACATGACTGTTTTCTATCTGGAGCTCAAGAAGCACCACCCACATGACATCTCCCACTTCTTATATTAAAGATATTCCAATTCAAGTTTTCCTTCCCTGACTCACTTCCTCCTCCTCCCATGGCAACACAGAGAAGACATCAAGCAGGAAAAGAACAGCCAGAAGAGATGAACTCCAGATACATAGATTGGCTGCTGGTGAAAAAGTCTCACTATGAGTGAGGCATAGAGCAAGATGGATATTCTATCCAGACAGCTTCTCTCCAGAAAACACCATTCACAAAGATGACCAAAAGCCACCTGGACTTGACAACATCGGGAGTCAAAAATAGCCTGCTGACCAAGCCTTCAGACACCATTTCCTTAAGGAACAGGAACCCCTTCAGGATTAGTTTTCTGTGGGCAGAAAATATACATTTTTCAAGAATCTGGATTCTCAACACAGTACTCTCAGGTTGATGCTGTAATCTGCAGCCAAGAATGTATCTTCCAGCCAGAAGGCTTCTGCTTCATTTCCTTGCCCATCAGTCAAGCTGGGTGAGGGATATCTAAGATGGTTTTATCTTCAATGCCAGTTTCTACCTGAGGGGGGCCCAAAAATTCTGTGAGAGCTGGTCCACTTTGGTCCCCCAGCTGTATTGGTTTGACTCCCCCAGGGGAACTATGTAAATGGAGATCAGACCATTGCCAAACAGCTTGAAAAGACAGCTTTCCCTGCAGCAGTTCTGTGATTTCAGGTCTCCCTCCCACCCTCCACTTCCCCCGTATCTTACCTTTCTTTCTGCAGGCTCTAAGGGCTCATTCTGCCCCAAATCTGTTGAAGAGAAACTCATAAATGCAAGCATGTGGCTCTCTCCCCCTCTGTTTCTGGCCTTTGAGAGTATTATTTGATAGTTGCTTGCAAAAGAGTTTACTGCAGTCAGCCTGGCAAAACTAGCACCATCCATGCCTATTTTGCTCACACCCTGAGGCCGAGAGTACAATAGTTAATGTCTTCCTCAAGTTTGCACATGTTCATAGCTAAACTGAAAGCCTACTAATGGAATCGAGTTATTCTAGTGATGATCAATGACCGCACAGACTGTCAACATCTTTCTCCAGAGCTGTGGTGACACAGGTCTTCCCAAATCAATTGGCATTCTCTTCTGACTCATTTGGCTACAAAAGCTAGTTAACATGTTGCCAGGAATTAAGAGGAACTGGAGGAGAAAATGTATAGGAGAGGTATTTAAGAATTTATAAATGTAGGTATCTAAAAAGATTTGAGCACAATAATGTGCAAGGTGCAAGAAAAACACTCTGATCCACAGCCTGCAGGTATTCTGGGAGTTCTTCTCATAACCTTAATGATTGTTCTAAGTAAGTGGTCGCCAAACACAGCTCATTGGCCAAATATCTCAGAAAGATTTTAAAATACAGATTCCCACGCCTGGAGTCTAAATGGATTTGAATCAGTTTCCCAGGAAGAACTCTGGCAATCATACTTCTTTGAAAAATCCCAAGTTATCATACTAACCTGCTCTTGGCTGTTCAACTGTTAATTAGCACCTTTAAAAGCAGAGATCAGTGATCCAGGGATCAAGGGGTGCAGTATCTGCAACAAACCATGTTTCCCTTTGGGCAACACTGACTTAAGAGTTTCTCCAAAATCTTCCTTTGAAGGCAGGGCTGGGTCATTTTTTCTGTTTCCTCTCATTAACCTATCCAGATGGGGCCTTGAGGGACCCCTTAAAAACAAGGTCTTTTTTCCTACAGAGAGAAGGAAATCATTATAGTTTTTTTGATACATGCTGAAAGACTCTTACATGTAGGCATATAGTTCTCCCAGGCTTCTGGACATCCTGTACTGGTTTGAAGGAATCCCAAATGGTGAATACTTTTACAATCTTGGGGTAGGTAAAACAGCAAAAGCAGGAATCAAAAAGATAAATTTGACTACACAATTTTTTTAACTTGTATCTATCAGAATACAATGTAAACTGAAATGGACAAAGACAACTGTGGGAAATTTTTGCAGCAAGCATGTATACAAAAGATTTTTATCTTTAACAAATAAGTAGTTTTTGTAAATAAATAGAAAATGGGCAAAGGATATGAACAGGCAGTTTAAAAAAAATAAAATGGCAGATGGGCAAATGAAAAAAATGTGGCACCTCAGTATAAATTGGAAAAATATATAAATTACCACAAATTGAAATCCCACTTCTCACATCAACAAAGATATTTTGAAAGATCAATTTCTGTGTTCTTAAGGATATGAGGAAATGGGTGCTATCAACAGAGTCGGGGGAAGGGAATTTCTAAAACTTTTTGGAGAGTTATTACTATCAAAATGTGTGCATCCATTATAAGTGAAGTTACACTGTGTTAACAAAAGACCCTCGAATCCCCAAGGCTTTCAATAAGCAAATTTATTTCTCATTCACACCACACATCATGGCTCAACTATAGCCCTGCTCTGCCTCATTTTCATTCTAACACTTAGAGCAATAGCTCAGTTTTTCTGAAAGAATTGTCAGCCTTCTGGCAGAGGGAAAAGAAACATGGCAAAACATAGGTGGGCTCCTAAAGTTTCTGCCCAAAGGTTTTAACATTTCTTTCACATTTCACTATACAAAGCAAATCAAGTGGTCACTGTCTGTTTCAGCAGAGTGGAGACATAAAATCTTCCCACAGGCAGGAACATCACAGGGGATTAACTGGAAAACTGGGTGAGGAACCATACAATGCACATTCCCCTTGACCTAATGATTTCAACTTCTAGGATTTTATCCATCAGAAATAATCATAATGTGCAAAAAGTTCATGTACAGTGGAGACTTTCATGGTGCAATTTATGTATGTATGTATTTATTTTGATACCAGGGATCAAACTCTGGACCTTGTGCTTGCCAGGCAGGTGGCAGAGCCACTAAGCTAAATCCCCAGTCCATGGTATAATTTATAATGGATAAATTGAAAACAACACAAAGTGAAATGTACGGGACTAACTAAATAAATTATATTACATTGCTATGGTTGAAAATGATATCATTCTTCTACAAGTTAAAATACATAATAACATGAGAACATGTTTAAGATGTTCTTTAACTGAAAAAAGAGCTGTGTAAACTCTACAATCCAAGTTATATAAAGACAGTAATATTTTTGTACGTCAAAGTACTTAATAAATATTTCTCAAATTAGTAATGGAAAAAAATAGTTGGAGGGTAGTTACCAAAATGTTATATTTCAAAATTCTGTAATTGTTGGAAATTTTATTTTCTTCTTTGTTTCTCTATATTTTACTCAGTTTATTTGATTGATTTCAATCATCATGTTTTACATTCATATTCAGAAAAAAAATATATATATATGTTTTCTAAAATCAGTGCAATAACTTTAAACAAGAATAGAAGGAATGTGGTAGGAAGTAGGTATCTTCTTTTCAGGAAACCACAATATCAAGACCCTCCTCTCTTGAAGGTCTGTTGTGTCCAAGATCCATAAAACAAGATCCCTCTTCTGGGGTGGTCCTGTTTTATGCAGGCTATAAATTATTTAGGTGCATCTAACGGACTGCTTTGTTTCCATTCTCTCTCTCTCTCTCTCTCTCTCTCTCTCTCTCTCTCTCTCTCTCTCTCTGTCTCTCTCTGTCTCTCTCTCTCTCTCATCTTAGCCACAACTATGTTCGAGGCTCCATTACACTTTTCATTATCAACTTGCATCGATCAAGAAAGAAAATCAAACTGGCTGGGACTCTCAGGGACAAGCTTGTGCACCAGTATCTGCTGCAGCCTTATGGGCAGGAGGGCCTGAAATCCAAGTAAGTACAGACCTAGAAATAATTTAAGAGCAAGTAAGGCAGGAGTTGAACAGGAAGAGAGCTGAAGTCACCCTTTTGCTGAAGGAGCCAAGGTTGCTTCTAATTCACTCAGGGGCTTCGTGGGATGGAGTAAGATAAAGAATGCTCTGGAGTCAGGGGACTACTGATTTCCTCCGGAGCCTTGCTCAAGACCCTCTCTATTTCTAGGCTTAGATTCCTCGACTTTAAAGTCAAACTGTGGCAAAACATTATCAATAAAATTATTCTTGGTATTTGAGCAAAACTTTTTTTCATTATGAAAGACTATCACATTGCAACCCATTTGGCATCCTTGGCACCGGCCCACTCAATACTAATAGTGCCCCTGGTCATGTGACAGCCCCAAATCCCGGCTGAGAACCAAATCCCTTCCAGTTGTAATGTTCCATAACACCTGAGATGGCTCTGCACATCTGCGTATCTCATGGGGTTGAGAGGAAGATGGGAAAAGGATCAAAAGTTCAGAGATCCAGAGTTATTCTGCCTCTAACTGTATTCCTTTGGTGCATCGCTGCTTAATCTGTTTCTTCATCTGAACAATAGGAGGCAGATGATATACTGAGAGTTCTGTGGTCCTGCAAACCATAAATATATGATTCTGTGACACTTTCCTGCCTCCTTCAGTCTCTACAGGAGGCTCTTGGTAACACTGATCTACCAACAGAATGCAGCTCTGAGCTACAGGGAGAATGTGCCTAGTCAAGGACAAGACCACCACAGCTCCCCGAGCAAGGCCTCTTAGTAAGGGTATGGGATGCTCTGCAGACTGGGGGCGTTCCCATTCCATTTTTAATGTTTACCAACTATAACAAAGCTGTAAACTTGGAGCAGGTGGCTTGCACTCCCACAGCTGCCCACAAATATTTGTGCTATAATTGTTCACTGTTTCACAGCAACTTTGGTGGCTTGCATTTGGCTTCCAACTGTATGTGCAATGGGAACAAAACACAATCTGGGAAGTCACTTACTGAAACTCTTCAGCCCACCCTAGATCTGCATTTTCACATACTGGCTTTTTTTTTTTTTTTTTTTTTTTTTTGGCTACATGTACATGGCTTCTCCTTTCCTTTCTTAAGAAAAATATTTTATTCTTCTCTTTTCCACTTCCCAGTAGGTCATGATGGGCATACTGAATTCCTGTCCTGTACGTCCCAGCACCACTAATTAATTTTATGGCATGAGAAAGATCATTTAGCCTAATTTCTTGGCCTCAGTTTCCACATCTTAAGAATTCAAAGTTTGCTATATATTTGGTAAAGAGTATTATGGCCCTAAAATTCTCACCCTGAGTCTGATTTTCTAAGGACCATAAATGCATTTAAGCTTCCTGCTACCGTTCAATAATGACCTGCAAAGCCATTTCTGGCAGAAAAGCTGACTCCTTAGCAGTGATTGTAACAAAACAATGTCTCCTGAAACCAAAGAGCTTAGGAGCTAAGCCTGCCCAGTATCAAGAAGAGAAGGCTTTCTGAAAGGGACTGGCCAAATGCTGTAATCTAACAAGTCAAAATGTCACTCCCTGCTCGGCACGAGGCAAGTTATGTAATCTTTGTGAGCCTCAGTTTCCTCTCACTTAGAGCAAAGGAAACAAGGTAATCTACGTAAAGTTCCTGGCACACAGTAAATGCTCAATAAATGTCCACTGCCCTCCTTTTCCTCAACTCAGAACTCTAGTCTGTTAGAAAAGGAGGGAAACAGTTGCTCTGGCTAAGAATGTTATGCAAAAGAACAATCACCTCAGATTTTAAGATACTATGTTAACAAAATATATGTTAAGATTAACAGATATTAAAAAGTATTCTGAATGCTACATAAAACCAAACAGTACAATAGGAGGAGATGGTAGTCAGAAGGCAGCATCTTTCAATGAACTCATTTCTCCAATCTTTCCCCCAGCATCCCTGTGTGTTGGCCTCCGAGATTACTCTTCTTCTATTTGAACCTAGCCAAACTTTCTCCCTGTCCTGCATGTATCTGTCCTTCAGAGTAACTGACTCTTACTGACTAGCAATATTCAGGGTTGTTGAATGCTGCTGTCCTGTACTTCACTAAGTCAGCATACTACTGGGGAGTTGTGTTATAACTTTGTGAACAATGAAGGAATGGAATAAAGACAAAGAGAATTTTATTTCACAGGGATCCTGAGAGCAAACAGTAACATGATGTATTTGGGATAACAATGGAGATGGAGTCAGAGGCCTGGTTCTGAGTCCAAATGCTGCTGGCCATTTATCTGTGTGATCAAACCTCAGCTTTGTTATCCATCAGGTAGGGTATTTTGAGAATCAAATTAGAAGAGGGTATAAAATAAAGCATCCCACAAATGTAATCCCACATACAGACATATATCTATAAATATAAATATTCACATGATCTTACACATTGTATAGAGAGTTTTGATTAGGGTATAAAGACAACTAGATTGCAGCCTCTGACCTTGCCACTCATTTTACTGTAAAACCTTGGGCCCTAAACTCACATCTCTAAGTCTGATCCTTTCCCCAAAGCCACTGCTAGCTTTTCATCTTTCCTAATTTAGGCCTTAGGGCTCTGACCCTGTGCTGTACCATCTTGGACTGTTAGCTGCCAAGCAGAGACAGGCAGCTGCAGATTCAGCCCCACATCCAGTGTTCTACTAGGTAATTGCTCAAGCGTTTGTGCCCTCAGTGGTTCTGGGATGGGGAGAGGGGGTCTCCCAGGAAGGGTGTGGTTTTAGTGAACCAGATTATGCAGAAAAGGATGAAAGGAAGTCAGGAGCGGTGGTGCACACTTTAATCCCAGCACTTGGGAGGCTGAGAGAAGATCGCCATGAGTTTGAAGCCATCCTGAACTACACGGTGAGTTCAAGGTCAGCTTGAACTACATAGTGAGTCCCTGTCTCAAAAAACTGAAAAAAACGAAAAGAAAATGAGAGGAAATGTTAGGAAGTGGTTTTAGTTGGTGTCTCTTCTATAAGCTGCTGGGGCCAGGTTCTGCATTCTGTGCATTCTAAGTCTATGTTCTTGTACACTCTGAAGGCATAGTAGCTCAGAAGAGGCTGAAGAGTTTTAGGGAAAGAGGAAAAATGTAATTTGCTTCTCTGCAGGGGGTAGGGGAGCATGAAAAGGACATAGAACAAATCAGTCTCATTAAAACCACCACTTGGCCACTTTGCTGTGGGGTTTCAGGAATGAGATAATAGAAAATGCTTTTGAATGGCTGAGAACATAGAGTAATTCTTATTCTCTTAGATTTGCCAAAAGGCTGGGAACATTTGAAGTTTCTGAAAGGGTATCCCTACATGAACTTGTAGCTAAGGTACATCAGCCATTGTACAGGAAACACCCTGGGCCAACAATCAGACACAGTCCAGGAACTGAACTAAACTAGGAGGATTGCAAGTTCAAGCCCAGCCTTGGCAGTTTAGCAACTTGGCAAAACCCTATCTCAAAGTAAAAATATAAAAAGGGATGGGGATGTAGTCCAATGCAAAAGCCCTAGGTTGAATCCCCAATATCACAGAAAAGAAAGAAAAGGAAAGAAATCAGCTGTACCTAAGATATCAAATCTCCAATATCTTTCAACAAAGAAGCAACTTGAAGCTGGACCCAAAAGCCAACTTATATCAAAAATAAGAGGGCTGCCCAGGATTTAGCTCAGTGGTTCAGCAACCTGCCTTGCAAGTGCAAGGACCCAAGTTCAATACCTGGTACAGAAAAAAAAAAAAAAAGAGGACTCACTTTTCAAGGAACAACTCAAACACAAATCAGGTGTTCGATAAGATCATAGGGTTCTTCTCTATATATCATATTTATTTTTTTGCATTAAATAAATATAAATTTTATTAAAAACACTCACATAGTGTTATCAGTAATGATATAATAATAAGCAGCTTTCAAATAACCTGCATTCTTAACATTACAATACTTTACAGTATTTATAACCATCCTTAGATTTTACAAACACAACATCTCATGAAAATGAAATAAGACTAAGTTAAAAAAAATAAAGCAAAGAAATATGCACACAGAAGTTCATTATTTTAGCGTCCAAATGCAAACATTTCCTACCAAAGTTAGCCACTAGCTTTTAGATGTGAACTGTACATCACTGTGTGTCAATCAAGATGAAAGATTCATTCAGGTAAAGTTGCCACCACTGAATCATTTTCAAGGATGGCTACACTCAACCTGACATTCCCACAGAAGCAAACTGCGCCACTGGCTTCCTATTCACTGGGGCAGGCCAGATTAGAGATCTGTTATTTACAATACGTTGCCCAGGTTCCTTCCTGTCTAACCTCTTCCCACTTACCCAAACTACATTTCCTGCTCTAGTTTGCCAGTAGTTTGAAAATGGCAGTGGATGACATGGTCACCAAACAGTCATTGGATGGCTCACTATCACCAAACCCACGTGCCCTGCTTTGGGTTAGAGATTATGGTGCATGGACAACAGTATAACCGTATGGTTTGGATGCAAAGCAAATGGTTTAAAATTGCTTATGAATTGGACACAGCCAAAAGGTTGAAAGCTTTTTAAAAGACAAAAATCATCTTATAAAGATTTGGCCAATAGAAACCAAAGGCTCCCACTGATTAAAGAGCTGACCAATGGAACCCAAAAGTCTGCAATGATTAAAGATTTAACCAATAAAACCCAAGAGCTTTCACTGATTTAAAATTTGAAAAGCTATATATCATATTTAATTCCATCCTAAGGGGAGACAATCCAAAAGTTAGGAATGAAGGAAACATTTTTCTTCACTTGGCTGCTTTAACACATTGACCTGAGTAAACAGGCAGATGCTAAGAATCTTGAGGTAGAGTAACATTTTGAGGTGATGTGGTTTTTTCCCCTGATCTCAGACATTCTGTGACTAAACCATCTAGACCAGGGGATAGCCCATGTTTAGGAGTGGCCACAATTTCAATCTGTCTGAATACTTCATTTTGCCTATTGCTGTGACTTTATGGATAATA